AGTTTCAGGTGAAACATTGCCCCAAACCTATACACCTATATACTTCTAAGATGATTTGTCCACCTGAGTGGACACTTGTGAATAAAATCATTCTTGTTTATTTTAAACCTGGTGGTACTTAATTTTTGTAACGGTGTGAAATAATGCTGAAAGACTATGGGGTAACAATACCATTTTCATAGCGATGCATGAACTTTGCAATTTCTAGCGTATACATATCCAAAAGCTGTAGGAGTTCATACTGGTGGTAGGGCTGCAAATTAGTTGTACGACTTTTCTCTGCAATTGCCATGCATCTTATATAACTTTATTCGGCACAACTTGGATTAGCTGTCGAGCAGAACCCCAAGTAAGTAGGCTATATTGTAGACGCAATTGAAATAAACTAATATATATATATACTAATTTAAATGTTTTAGAATTAGCGTACTCTAAAGGTGGTAATAGCCTGTTTTCCATTATAGATCAACATAAATTTCGTTTTGGATTGGTTCAAGTATCATTTATTTGCTCCGAGGATAAGCCAATTATCGACCTTCGTGAGTTCATGATTCAATAATTTAAGGATGCTAGGTATGATTACTCACAAGTATTCGATTCTTATCCGATTCCTAAATTTCCGATTCCGATTCGACATAGCTTACCGGAGAAAACGCACCTACTTATTAAGCAATACCGCATGAAATCGAACAAAAAAAGCGATGTTCAAATATATGGACACGAAAACCAAAACTAAGTAGTATGGGTATTCAATCTGCCACAGTAGAACAAAATCGCACACAAAAAACGTATCCGTTAGACCCCACAGAAATTTTTGAAATACGTAAAATGAGGGTAATAGCCTTCTAGAGAAAATTCAAAGCAATTGAGTTCAGTAGGTGAAAAAAGAAATTTTTGTCATAACAATACCAAGAAAATGAATTCTAATAACAGCAATAAAATTACCAAAACGATCTTTATGTCCACTTTGGGTCCAAAAAATCACTGTCGTAAGCAATCAAAAATCTATTGCAATGTAAAAAGTTCGTTCACACGCCTTCCTGTGAGCCTCGATTGTAATTTGGAGACGATAAGCCCCGCTAAGCTTAATGTTTTTTTCTGATGCAGCAGATGTTGCTGGGGCACAGATGTACTTTTGGACGACAACTAAGATGTTTGGATAAACTTTGGTTCTAAATCTTTGGTCCCTGATATGTTAAAATTTCTGTCATTCAAATATTTTGATATCTCAGCTGAAGCATCCACCTCCCTGGTCAATTCAACAATGTCGCCTTCCCTTGCTTCTAAGCTGTCCATACCATCATTGATCGGATTTTCAATATATATATATATATATGCTTCATTATTTCTATTGAAGAGTTCTTATGCTATTCCGATCTGTCGGATTGCGGTGTAAACATTTTATATATACTTAAAATATAAAATTGCAACAGATGTTTCACTTTTCTTATTGCATCTTGCTTCAAGTAAATAGGAGTTATGAACGCAATAGGTAATGGAAAAAATATACAAATGAAATGTGACACGTGTCTTCGACCCGCGCAAACAAGCGAGTGGGAGGAGAGTGTAGAAATATAGTGAACTTGGTGGCGGCGTAGTAACTCCACATAACGGTTTATCAATATATATGTGAAGGACTTGTCACAAAACGTTATACCTTGTTTGTAATCCAAGTTTTAACTATAAGAATTGATTCCAAGACATCGGAATCACATCTAGTCGAATCCACGAAGAATCGATTCCGAAGTCGATTCCGCATACAGTTTAACCGTATATATATATATATAGGCCAAAAAGGTAGATCGTTTATGTAGCATAAAAATACCAGCGGGTCAATCATAGTAACCTGGGAACTCCACATTCAATAAAGCTCATTTCAGAGATACAATATTCATTTTGAACATAGATTAGAAATATCTTATGCAAATCTGATGCAAAATGTTTTTTTGAGCTGTAGGTGGTTAAGACAGAATTTACATATATATATATGTATCTCGGGTAATAGAATTATGTGGCGAACCACGGCAACAGTCGGTTATGGACTTAGTTAGCCACCTATTTGTTTCAAATGCGTGGAACTTGACGGTGGAGTAAGCCGTAACCGAGAGCGGTCACGCGTACCGAGTGGAAGTGGTGACTCCTCTACGGCCCATGGGCCGGGGCCACGGCCTATCGAATTGGGTCTCGGCCCATCAGGCTATGGGCCGCGGCCCATCAAGTTGTGTAACGGGACTATTCGGCTGGCTAACACAGACAGTCCCCGAACTATAATGTGAAAAATCTGAACTAAATTTTGTCCTAACCCTAACCTGGTACACATACTACAGGAGTATTCTTTTCTGTATCTTGGTATTTTGCTTTATTTTTATATAGAGGACTTGCACGGGTCACGTGACTTTGTTACTGGACGGCAATGAAACAAAAACGTCCATTTGGCTCCTGTCAGTTGCAAGTCGGATTATACGTTTCTGTTTTGTTTGACTGTTAAAAATGGTTATTTCGTATTGTTCCGTTGGCTGTACGTATAGTATAGACAACGAAATGGATCTTCAGTTATATTCCATTGTTTTCAAAAGATCCGGAACGCCGCGCAATGTGGATATCATCTATTGGCAGGACTGCTTGGTGTCAAGTCCAGAAGCCATCTCACTTGTGTTTCACTGTTTACGGACAGCACTTCGTTGAGGGTGCATCATGTGCCGTTATCAAATTTTTAAATATTCATAAGCTCTCTCATTTTAATGGAAAGCAGATGACAAACTACTGTTATTGGTAGGCCTAGGCGTAGGCCTACTTGCAGACTTGACTCGTGTAAGGTATTATTCAATAATTGCCATAAGGTATTGTTTTCCTAGTTAGCAGGTAATCTATCAGTAAGTGTGAAAAGTTGAATAGATAACTAAAGTTTAACGCCAGTGCTAATGCAAAAAATAACCAAAATTCAATTGAATTCTCCATCTAAGAATACGCTCGCCACCGCATCTCTGATCCCCCTGAGAGTTTCACAGGTTCCAATCCCATGCGGGGATAGTTATGTGCGAGGGATTGCAGCCCTCCTCCCACTGAGGATAGTTCACACGACCGCTGGTCGATTACGACATCCCCCACCATCAAGTATATGCTTCTAAAACAAATAACTGGCGTACTAATCCCGACATAGAATGGTAATCGTACGATGTTGCACCTTGCAATCTGTCCCCCAACCACAGATAAATTCTATCCTGAAAACTACCCACATTGGTAGGCATAGTTGCGTTTTAAATTGAAAAAAATCTTCATTAATGGTCAGAAGGTGTCCAGGTATTTGTTTTCAGAAGCATGGACTTGGATGGTGGGGAATGGTCGTAACCGATCAGCGGTCATGAGAACCACCCTCGGTGGGAGTAGAGCTGCAATCCTCTCTGGGATTGGAACCTGTGAAACTCCCAGGGTGATCAGAGATGCGGTGGCGAGCGTATTCCTAGATGGCGAATTCAATTGAATTCTGGTTATTTTTTGCATGACCGCTGGTGTTAAACTTTAGTTATCTATTCAAACTTTCACACTTAGTAATAGATTACCTGCTAATTAGGGAAACAATACCTTATAGCAATTGATTATTAATTCCTTACTGTCTTACACAAGTCAAGTCTGCAACTGCAAGTAGGCCTACTAATAACAGTAGTTTGTCATCTGCTTTCCATTGAAATGAGGGAGCTTGTGAATATTTGAAAAAATTGACAACGGCACACTATCACCACATTATCACTCACCATCAACGAAGTGCTGTCCGCAAACAGTGAAACATATGTAAGAAGGCTTCTGGACTTTACACCAAGCAGTTCTGCCAATGCAATAGATGATATCCACATTGCGCGACGTTCCGGATCTTTTGAAATCAGTGGAATATTACTGAAGATCCATTTCGTTGTCTATACTATACGTAAGGCCAACGGAACAATACGAAATAACAATTTTCAACAGCCAAACAAAACGGAAACGTATAATCCGACTTGCAACTGACAGGAGCCAAATGGACGTTTTTGTTTTATTGCCGTCCAGTAAATTGGTCCTCAGTCCTCAATAACGGCTTATCGTAAAAAAAAAAATTTGGCGGCATACCGCGATTTTTTTTGGTTCGAATATTGACAATTTTGTGAAAATTGATAATTTTGGTAAGATAATTGAATTTTTTCTGTTAGGGCCGCGGCCCATAGCTTGATGGGCCACGGCCCATATGGCCCAATGAGATGGGACGTAGAGGAGCCACCACCCATGTAGCGCGTACCACCCTACCTCGGCGAGGTGTCCAGCAAACCTCTCACACCTAATTAGCCCCCACCGGATGTGAACCCGCGTGGGGTAATCAGAGGTGCGGTGGTGAGCGTATTCCAAACGCTTAGTCGCTACATCGCCGAGCCGGTTTCTAATATAATTTACGAAACGGACCTTGAACCCGAGCTGAAAGCTCCATTTGACTCCTAACACACACACACATGCGGACTGCCGAAATTCAAGAAGGCGTCTGTCTGTCATAGAATCAGCTGTTGGTTTTCAAGATAGCACTGTAGCACTGCTTTCAGGAACTTCAGGTTCCTTCTTAGGGTAAATTTACTAGTCGGTAGAATAAACACTCTACCACGCTCACGTAATTTTTGGATGACACAGTGAGGTGGGAGGTTAGGATTGTCAAATTGTTGTAAATTACTTGCAGACTTGAGGTACGCGGCGCCGCGGTGTGGCTCAACCAACGGGCTAAGCTCTGGGAATACGCTCCCCAACGCACCTCTAATTACTCTGCGTGGGTTCGCAGGTTCGAATCCCATGCAGGGATGGTTATGTGCGAGAGGATTGCTGGACTCAATCGCCGTCGTTGGGTGGTTCACGTAACCGCTGGTCGGTTACGGCTTCCTCCATCCAGCCATCACCAAGTCCATGCTTCCGAAAACAAACAATATAACTAATCCCATACCCGACTTCGAATAATAACCAGACGAGAGGCCGTGGTTCGTCATATGGATAAGCCGTCTTATCGGATTTCCTCTCCCCCAGGATAAATATGTGAATCCTATCCTATCCTACGGTTTGACATGACCTGCTTAGTTGGAACATGAGTCGGTTTGATTTAACTAAACACATCTGTCAAGAATTTCATTTAACTGACTTGGAAAAAAACATGGAAACTTCATTTTGTTTGACGTTATTTTAAGGAGTTACAGCGATTACTTCGCTAGACCCCTGCATTGTGAATATTTTGAGTTTTGTCATCTCTTTCTAATGCTAATATCAATTTTTTATATTTATAAGAAATTGAAAAAGTTGTAAATAATCCTGTGAAGTAGAATACCTATGAATCTATTGTTTGCCTAGTTCAGTAGTTTATCGATTATTACAATCTGATAATTGTGATGGCAGCATTGAAGGTTCGTGGTATTGGTGAAAGGTTGAAAACATCACTCAAGACTGCTATCGTCGATTATAGAACTTCAGCTCTAGAGTCTTTGCAATATATGAAAGAAAACCCAGTTAAAACAACAATGTATACAGGATTATTGCTATTTGGAATCCGACTCAATCGGACAATGCCGACCGAAACCGAGTTTTATGCAAAGCTTGTAGACAAGTCTAATGAAATTGTATTATTGAATGATAAAACTCGAAACAAAGAATCAGATGAACACATTCAAAAAGTTTCTGGATATTTTGCAAAGGGACGAATTCGCCATCAAAATTTAGTGATTTTCTCTCTAATTTATTATACTGATTATGACGTAACTAATAAGCATTATGAATCGCAATGTAAATTTTTACGTCCAAAATGGAGGGAATTTCATAATCGAATAGTGGATATAGGTTTATATCGACGATGGTGGGTGCTGAGATACCATACAACAGACTATGATATAAATTTTGAAGAGTTTCCAAAAGACCTTGATTCCACATGGGCACAAATAAAAGACTTTTTCAACAGAATATTGGAAATTTCATATTTTGGAAATCCTGCTATTCCTTTATCTGAGCAAAGAAAAGTTAGAAAAGCAATTGAAGTTGTTGAATAGAACACATACTGCTATTTTGTCTTTTTTCAATCACCTATTAAAATTGTTTATTTCACTACAAGTTATTTAAATTTTTATGTGGTTAAACATCAACAAATTCATCAGTTCTGAGGTCATAAATTTGTTTCTTTTTATTTGTTTGTTATGGTTTTCATTATGTTTTGAACTACACGGAGTAAAAATTTGTAATCAATTGCTTAGCTTTTGTTTTTTCCAAGCATTTTTTATCTGGTATCCATTTTGTTAGTCTACATTTAATTCAATGTCATTTATTGTTTAGGTTTACGTTAACAACATTCTAGTTATGTCTTCCAACACCAATCCACTGACCCGTAAAAAAGGTCATCCTCGAAGTATAAGAGTAAAAGTAATTAGCATGGGCAATGCCGAAGTTGGTAAAAGCTGTTTAATCAAGCGATACTGTGAAAAGAGATTTGTAAATAAATATCTGGCGACTATTGGGATTGATTATGGTGTCACAAAAGTACAAGTAAATGATAAAGAACTGAAAGTAAATATTTTCGATATGGCAGGACATCCCTACTTTTACGAAGTACGAAATGAGTTTTACAAAGACACACAAGCTGCAATTCTTGTTTATGATGTAACAAACCGTATCAGTTTTGAATGTCTTGAATCATGGTTACAAGAAATGCGGCAAGAAATTGGAAAACCTCAAAAAATGGACAATGTGATATTTTTTATTTGCGCTAACAAAACTGATAAAGGTAACAGGGTGGTTGATACAACAGAAGGAAGATTATGGGCAGATGGAAAAGGTTTTCATTATTTTGAAACATCAGCCGGTACGGGGGAAGGTGTAAATGAAATGTTTCAGGCCATGTTTAATGCATTAGTAGAACTATCTGAAAATGGAGGAAAGCGTGGTCCTGTAAACACCAATCTTGGTTTTACAAAAGAACAAGCCGATGCTATATTGAGGATAAAAAATGGACGTGATAATTATGAAAAACTTGGAGTACATCATTCTGCGACAAGAGATGATATTAATAAAGCTTATCGTAAGCTTGCTGTTTTGCTTCATCCTGATAAAAATGTAGCTCCTGGAAGTGAGGATGCATTCAAACTTCTTGTCAATGCAAGAACTGCATTGTTAAAAAATAGATGATCATTTGATTTTTTGAATATTTGTGCTTTTTTTTTTGTACCATATATTTATTATATGTAATATCTATCAAACGATTTGAAATTATGAAAAATATGGCCCACAGGCGTTTAAAATCTTGAGTGGGGGAATATTTCTCAATTTCTATTGGTCATAAAGGTTATTTACCTTCAACCTTAAAAGCAGTTGCATAAAAGTTACGAGAAAGAAAAGTAAAGCACATAATGATATATCTAACAACAAACCGAGGATGAAATAAGTACATACAATTTAGAATTTTTCAAATGCAATCTTATAACAGATTAAATTCGGTGTAAAAGTTCGAGAAATCCCTTTAATATATAAGTGAGTGAGTGCATGTGGCCCTTGTTTGAACAAATTTCTTTATTCAATAGTCAAATTGAAAGTTTTTTTTAAATATTGCATCCATTATATCTAATACACCTGTTAACTAAATCAATTCACCTAAATCAATTATTTGTGTTGTGATGTCAGATTCTTAGATATCCTCATTATTACTAAAGCTTCAATATTAAATATTTCACTCCTTCTGCATAATTTCAATGGAATTTTGAGTCGGATATCTGTACAAAACACTCTCCATTAATAATCGGTGCCGGTATTTATTGTTAAGAGGAGTAATATAGTTTTATGAATTTGCCTTTATTTTTTTAATTTTTAGAGAAAAATATATATTTTTCACTATATTTCAAAATTTTGTATTTGTAATATTTTGTATACTATTCTGTTTAGTTAATTCTCTTTTTTACCTATAATTTTAAACAACACATTACTAACTCTTTTATCTCATATGTATTACAAAATTATTGATGTAGTTATTAATTGGTTATATCAATTTCTCCAGCTATTACACACACATGTTTGTTAAATGTAGTGGTACCACATTTATGGAAAATAGTTATTATGTTAGTTTCAGATTATACAAATTTTTTTTTCAATGAAAGTGTGGAAAATAGTGGCTGGATTGGAATATGTTTTCCTAAGTTGAATTGCTTCAAAATTTACTAAAAATTCATGTCTGAGAATTTATACTACTAACCTGGGTTCATAATTGAGTATTTGCATGTGGTAATTTATTGTTCTAATGCTTTTGCAACATATGGTCTTTTAAGCCATGTGACAAGTTTTATACAGTTAACTGTTTTTTAACTTCAGGTGCTGTAAATATTTATTTAACATTATAATTTATATTTTTCTGTGTGATTTCATGCTTCCACCTTTTTTATTTTAATTTTAGATTTTCAAATATTACCATAATCAAGATAAAAATGGGAAAAAGTAAAAAAGTCAAAGCGAAGCGTGCAGAGCCTCTGGCTATGAAGCAATCAGTTGGTCTGGTTGAGGATATCACAGCGGACAATGTTACTAAGGCGGCATCAAATCGGCAACCGAAGGTTCGATTCAGACAAGAAGAAGATGATTTTGTCGATAATCGATTAACAAAAAAAATTCTTGATGCAGCAGTAAAACAACAAAAAGAACTGGAAGGAGAAGTTGGGATCGGAGCTTCAAAATTAAAAACTGTAAAACTAGGAAAGAAAAGTAATTCCGATTCAGAAAATGAGGATGATGATGAGTGGCCAAGTTTAGCAGAAAGTGCTGCTCTTGCCGCTTCGGGGGAATATCAAGATCAAGACATAGTTATAAATCAAGAAGATGAAAAAGCATTACAGGCTTTTATTTTATGAATCCTGATCCACCAACAAGAAGAACTTTAGCTGATATAATCATGGAGAAAATTACAGAAAAGAAAACCGATGTCTCTACTCTAATGCCTGATGTTGAGAATCCCATGCCAGATATTGATCCTAGAATCATTGAAGTTTACAAAGATGTCAAAAGCATTTTAATTAGATACAGAAGTGGGAAGCTGCCGAAAGCATTCAAAGTTTTACCACATCTTAAAAATTGGGAAGAGATTTTGTATATCACGGAGCCGGATACTTGGAGTGCAGCTGCGTTGTATCAAGCAACAAGAATATTTGCTTCAAATCTTAACGTTCACATGGCTCAAAGATTTTTTAATTTGGTTTTACTGCCACGTATAAGGGATGATATTCATTACTACAAAAGATTGAACTTTCACCTTTTTATGGCATTAAAAAAGGCGCTTTACAAACCGGCAGCCTTTTTTAAAGGAATCATTTTGCCACTATGTGAAGAAGGTACATGTACTTTGAGAGAAGCTACAATAATCTCGAGCGTCATCACAAATGCACGATACCTGTTCTTCATGCTAGTGCAGCAATGATCAAAATAGCAGAAATGCATTATAGTGGTGGTAACAGCATTTTTCTCAGAGCTTTGATTACAAAAAAGTATGCACTACCATTTCGAGTCATTGATGCTCTTGTGTTCCACTTCTCTCAGTTTCGTAACGACAAAAGGGAGTTGCCAGTGTTATGGCATCAATGTCTTTTATCCTTTGTCGAGACCTATAGAAATGATGTCTCTGATGAACAAGCAGATAGCTTGAGAGAGTTGCTGAGGTATCAAATCCATCCTAAAATCACACCAGAAATAAGACAACAACTCATGTCCAGGGAAAGCAAAGAAATTATAATGGAGGAACCTGAATAACAATGAAGTTTAATCTTGTAATCAATAAATTATAAAATTATTTTGATTGTTTTTTGACAGTAAGCAGTGTAGCACGTATTAGCGTTTTAGATCTCGATGCAAAACTTCACATTTTCATTTTACTTGGCTGCGAGAGGCGTGTTTTGCCATATGATTGAGTCCCTTTCATCTGGGTGTAAAATATGAGATTCATATCCTGAGAACACTTTATCAAAAAGTTTTGCATGTTGATTTATACAGTTAATAGTTCATTTGTTTAATGTCGACTCTTGGTTTTCATCAGCCAGTTGTCTCAGTAACTAGGCCCCTGAATAAGTGAGGGCAATAATTCAATACCGACATCCCGTCGCCCTTGATAGCATATCCCAGCATGCCATCCAGCATGTTTTTTTGTTTGTTCGGAATGTTGTTCTGAGGGCAGAGTATTGATTGTTTTTAGTTCAAAGCACGCGAAAGATACCAGTAGTTATAAAATCCGGTATAGGCGCATGGCGATCCACGTAACTTTCGAGCGGTTACGATTTTTGAACCATTCTAGTTCGCTCACCTGAGAGACCATTCACCAACCTTTGTCAACAGTTAACGCATCAGTACAGCATCAACTTTCTCGTAAAAATAAGTTTAATTCATTAACGTCTTAAAAATGAGAGATATTTGTTTTCAGAGGTTCTCGCTAAAATCTTTTTTTCTCGCATGCTCTCAAAAAATTAGCATTGATCGGTTTGCTAATATTTCGACAGGTAGGGTATGGTGATAGATCATTTAATTACCACTCCGCCATGGTACAAAAAATGAGAATACACAAGACAAACACACAGGACTGCAATTCAGGGAAGCTGTCTCGATTCGTAATATGATTAAGATTATACACAGTAAAGTTGTCATTATAACTGTGTAATCTGAAAAGTTCATGACCATATGGAAGCGCAAAATCTGCTGCCACGTGACAAGCGGGTTACGTGGTCCTTCCAGTGATAGGCTGAACCATGGGTCCAGCGATCCCGTCACATACTATAAACATCCACGGGAATAAATTCCGTTCACACCTCAGAATCATCTAGTAACTATGGTTCATTTGTGATGAAATTATTATATATATTATAGCCTTAAAATTTAACTCCAACGAGCCACACTAGTTCGTATGTAACATAGAAAAATGACAGTATTTCTCTATACAGATAACATTACAATCTTTGTTTACTAATGAAAGCGAAGGCATAGTAAAATAAATTCTATTAAAAACAATGACAACTCAAATGTGGTATTAATGAATATAGCATGAATTCACAACTTCTGCGTAGGGACAAATCAATTACTTCAGTCGAAGGGGTAAGAAAGTGTATATTTACTTGTTGTTGGTTATTTACTGTTGTTAAACGAAGAATCAGCATTAGCGCCTTTCTACAATCTTCCCAAAACTTTGTAAGACCCTTTAACTATGGCTATTTTCCTATTTACCTCGTAACTTTCGTAACTTTTCAAAGAAGCAATGAAGTCATTAATAAAATTTTACAACAGTAGCGTCGAAAGACAACAGGGCAGTAATTCAGATATCCCATTATCCAATATAGATAACACCATATTTCAATTACCTTCTTGTTGCCACATTCCGACACTTCTTTATTAATATATATATTTGTCAAGTGTATTTTTTAAATACAATACAGCAAATACATCCAAATCATTAAATGAAGTGATTTCAATTTACACAGGAATTTTAATCGGTAAGTAACAATGTGTTTATTTTTATAAATTTACTTTTGGGGTCCGTAAATAATAGCCAACCTTATCACGGACTCCATAACACCAGAAGTTTGAGGATGTTTTGGGGATGTTGTTACGAAAAACAACTGAGACAATCGATTTAAAATTGTTTAAACCTGAAGTTTGATCGGGGCTTCAATTTACTTTTTAGGCCAATTGGGCCCGAATATTTGGCCAAATTATTGCATTGAAGCAATCGGCTTCCCCTATTGTTTCTTCATTTATCCTAAAATCATTTGCATGTAAATTTTGATGTTGTTTCGTCATAAAAATAACCGGAAGATGTTAGTTACATCGCTAACGTCGTTGAATTGATTAGTGTTAGGGCTAATCTAGACAATCAATGAACACAAGTGATGTTGACGTTGTACTGGAATAGTGTGGTTGGCTGCCCCAAATTATTACCTAGTTTAGGCCAGGTATTTGATTTCGATAGCCTGAAATGACTTTGAACTTGATTCTATATCTTTTTTTGTTGTTGTTGAAATATCCGCTAATTAGGTTTATAGACAACTAATAATCGAATGAGGAATCTATTAAGATTAGGTTGGCTGTAGCTGCCGATAGTAGCTGAGACCCAACCATATACTTGATTTTCCAACTTGTTATGGAAGAAAATGTACTTGCTGGGCATGTCTGCTAGTTTTGTCGACGCCAAACGAATATAATTTAAAACAGCATCACGAAACACCCCATGAATATCAGTAAGCCTATAGTCCGCAAACGGGGCTCCCGAAGTATGCGAACCAAGATGGCGGACATCGGAATGTAATATGTGTACTAGGTTAGGGTTAGGCCATACTTTTAGGTATAAATACTACGGGAGGCTCTTGGCTAGTCTTCGAACTGATAATAGGACTAAAATAGGGAAAATTGGAAAAAAATTATCGCCCAACCTGTTACCCATGTTACGTTCCGATGTCCGCCATCTTGGTTCGCATACTTCGGGAGCACCCCGCAAACAATACAAAAATAATATTGTGGCCCCAGATGCCAACAACCTTGGACCGGTGTGAGCTAGAATATTTGATTCTCAATTACGATATTGCTTAATTCTAATCCAATGCCTGTACGACTGACTCTCACGTGGGTTTATTTTGATTCAAAGCAAATAAAGTTCAATGAAATAGAAAAAAATAAGTTTTTGGTTGAATTGTTATAAACTTGGAAACTAACTGAACGGCAAGCGCAAATGAATATATATATATTCCATATTATTACCAAACCAATTAAACTGTTTTCGTAGTAGCCTACTCTACCCTCTTTTCCGTATCTTCACTGATTAATTTGGAAAGTGTTCCATTTTTTGTTGCTTTGGCATGCATATTTATACAATTTGAAGAAAAATGTAACAATGAAAACGGACATTAAAACTGATGTTTTCGACCACCTTTTCCACAGAATCATTTATTTCATTGACATTCCGAAAAAATGGTATAAAGTAATGAATAACAGTTAATTAGTTTCAGAAATATTTCAATAATAAATATTAACTGGCTGCAAAAAAAAAGAGTAGACTGTGTAGTTTACTCTGGTGTTCTGATGGCAAGATGCTATCAATGTAAGCCATATTGGAAACATCAGATATCCCTTCAATTCAGATTCAGGCATTTATTTTCGCCGTGAAAAAAATCAATATATATGCGATATAAAGAAAGAAATATATAAAATACATTTAATGAAATTACGAAAAGAGATATTTGCTCATAGTAGTCGACGAGGGGCCACGAAAGGTTCGGCGAGTCATCTACTCAGCGACAGCTTGTTGCTGTATTACAGTAGCAATTATAGCAAATGTACAACGCAACATGGGAGCTTTAATTGACAATGCATATTCATAAAAACAAGAGAGCTATGCTCAAATATATGGACACGTAGAGTCACCCAATTTTGATGACGTCATAGCGAAAAAAAAAGTAATAGCCTTCTGGAGAAAATTTTTATCTTTAACCACTGAAAATTTCAAAGCAATTGGTCCAGTACTCGAAGAGAAAAGCGACTTTTTAAAAACGTGTCAAAGAACAAGAACAAGAACAACAACATAATATTGAAACGATCGTTATGTCCACTACGTGTCCAACAACAACAACAGATTACAAATAAACTACGGGAATGAGGTGAGTCACAATGATTTATGGGTTAATAGACAACGCGCTGGTTTATGTTCAGGACATTCTTCAATGAATAAAAGTAGTATTACTTGTTTTAGTAAGCCTAATGTGTGAGCCAAAATGGCGTAACCCGCAACGAGCATGTGACGGCGACAATTGCTATTTTATCATATTTTTCAGTTGATAGAGGTATAAATAACTACAGGCGCAATAAGAATAGTACTGGAGCATGAAATCTGCAGAACATACGGCATATACACGGAAAATGACAATATAAACAGGATACCACAAGAGCATATGAAAATACAACTCTCGATTATAAAGTTATAGTAACCATGGAAAAACGAGAACTTGTATGAAAAGTACACACTACAAGATCATACTCTTAGTAGAAAAAATTCTCCAACTTAAGTCAACTATAAGCTTTGAGATATTGGGCTTTCAATGCATGTTTATAGAATTATTATTTCTGGTCTGTGTGAGAAAAAAAGCGTATTCTATAATCAGGCTCAAATAAATTTAATTGAGTTTTGGATATTCTTAACTTGTACCGAAAATATGATACAATTCCTAGGACTTTTTTTAAACACAGTTAAACAGTTTTTTTTTTTAAATGACCATCTGTAAAAAAAGGTGTCACAAGTTCACAACTGTACCGAGTGTAACACTTTACACTTGCCTATTAGTGGACCAGTCGCGGCCTAATGCCGCTCATATCATTGCCGTGAACTCCAATGTTATAATTTGCATAAAATTTTATTCAGTCGACAAATTGTGAAATAGACTTGAAAACAGTTTGAATAGCATAACGGGATCCTGTTAAATCGTTATCTCGCGACACCATTAAATGATTTTTTACAATCGCACATATTTACAGGTATATATTTGGAAAATTCAACTTGAACCCAATCTTTGCCTTCAAGTTATGGCAAGTGTTCACAAAAATGTCATATCTTTTGCGGTCGTTTCCTGATGGATACGGTCGTTGTCTCAGTGGTGGGATTCAAAATTGTGAAAACAGGTCAGCTGATAATACCGCTTTCAAGAAAGGGTTCTACTCAACCCCTTGAATCCCACCACCTGGTTGTCTACTCTAAATGGTCAGAATGCGTCACCCCGATTTCCTGCGTTTAGCAGCGCCAATACGTAATATAGTAGTTTTCAGAAGATTCCCTGCATCAGAACATTTTGATCACGTTGAATTAAACTATAATAGCAGTGTCCCCTATTTGAAGGTGTTTTATTGAAGGATATTTTTGAAACAATCTTTCTGTTAGTTTTTCTGTAAATTTTGTACTCCTTACTTTGGCAACGCGCAAGTTATTTTCTAGTAGTTTAATTTCCATATCCGGAGTTGCTCCTCTAATCTCGAACCACCACTTCCATTTCATATGTGGACTGCCAAATTGATCTTTTATAACGCTTTCGCAAACATAGCAGCCTGGATAGAGAAGCAGCTTCATTTTTGGTGTTTTGATTCGAAAACTTTTCCGTTTTTCTACTAACGTCTCCATATTAAGTTTAGATTTTCCTATCACGGCTTCAAACTTATTCGATGAACTCATGCTAAAGAATTCCACTGAACTTGAATATGTGAATATCAAAGAATCATATATTCCGAGTGACGTGTTAAAAACTGCCTCCCTCTCTTTCAGGATTGCATTGTGTGCTGTATACACAGAAACCGAGTAACTCAATTTGACGTCTTCAAAGTTATACACAAGAAGTTCAACTTCAGCTTGGTGTTCGATCGATTTCAATGGAAATTCATCCTGTAATATCACAGGTGCTTCAAATATTTGTAAATAACGGATATCCCTTGAACAAATTTTAACGTATACCGAAATGTCTTCATGTCTTTCGGTAAATATGCTTTGGCGATGACGACCAAATTTGTATTTTAGAATATTTTCATGAAGATAAGAGGAAGAACGTAGAAAATACACACCAGGAGACGTTTCCACAATAGATCCGCAGTACCGTTGTAAATTTGAGCATTTTGACTTGGCTTCTTCTAGATTGCGGTATGGGATGTCGTACGTACCACTAACTTTTTGACCTAATGTCAAGTTGACAGTTTTCCCTTCGAAATGTTTGTACGTGCATTCATGATTAGGATATTGGTCCCCGGCATCTAGACCATATCCTTGAATGCGCGAATTCTCTTTTTCATTGTCTAGTCTATCATTCGTTAAAAATGGGTTTTCTACTATCACTTTATTAGAATTTCCAACGAATCTAACGGTTGCCTTATTGACCACAAAGATCCTAATGTCAACATTTATCTTTGTGTAAAGTTTATGTCTAAAAATATTCTTCACGACGTATTTCATGTTATTCATACCACTAGGATCAGATTTTGGAAATATTATTTCATTCATATCAAAAAGTTTTGTATCCCGTGCTTGAAAATGACTTCCAATACCACTTTTTGGTTCAAATTGCCAAGGATGTTCATGTGGTATCATTTTATAACGACCGAATTGTGGATCGTTAGCTTCTGTTTTTAACCCATTCAATTTGAACCTACATTCGATATCACTGTCTTCACCACCCCAACCGTAAAATCTGTTACTATGGCCGTTTACTAGCTTGTATTGGTCGACTCTGATCGATCCCACGCCACCAAATCCCGTTCCGTACCTCACTTTATAGTTGAATTTATCAATAGCGGGGCACAAGTGACGTGGTGCATCACCACAGATGTGCAGGTTTCGATCATCTTCGAGTAGCATATCGACATCATGGAATACAAGGCAGTCGAAATCGTATCTAGCCTCATGTAGAATTTCCAAAACTCCCGCGTTCATTATACGTCCTTTGTTAAATGCTCCGTCGTCGTATTGTTCGGGTACAAACACACAATATTTCAACGATTGTCTTTGCAAAATTGGATGCAAGTGATGCAGAAGCGTTATGAGATGCTGGTGTCGATTTTTGTACGGCACTATTATAGCCACCGTCTGATTGGAATGGCAATCTTTCGGTTCGTAACACCCATTTATAACGCGTTCACCCGCCATTTTCATGGCTGCATCCTCCGTTGGTACAACAGATGAATTGACTTTGAGTTTCCCTTTCAATCTTTGCGAATACTCTGGACAATTTTCATTACTAGTGCTATGTTGATCCGAGTACTTCGCATATTGTTGAAAGTATATAGTTTCAACGTGCTGTTTACTGCTCAGCTGCATGAACAAGAACAGCACAACTGCGATTGAGCAGGCAATGTAAATGCTTGAGCAACTAAACAACAGTTTCTGCTTATATATCATGGCAAATAACAATGAAAATCTGAAAAAGTATCAGGAAATTAAAATCACTCAAAATAATTCGGTTTTCAAATTTCCATAATCTTGAAAATAGGTAGTCGAAATTTTCAACTGGACCTAAAAGCCTTGGAAATGCAAAATGTTTTCGTAGACAAAATTTTCCCACTATCGAGTCGAGAGTCGGACTAGATTCTTTCTAACAGGCACTGAGTGTTCTCAATTTGGAGTGTGTAAAGGGCGTTTCAAGAGACGGATTATGGCATGATTTTTAATAAGGCCCTTGAAACGAATTCAATGATAAACTATTTTTAATCACTAATAGTATTACAGCAATAAATATGCAGCTGCACCCATGAGTAGCTGCTCTGCCCTGTACCTGCCAAATTTTGAATTGTATCAACTTTCTAAACCTCCCGTTGTTGCCGTGAGTTTCACGTCGCCACTAGGCTTGCTTGTGTGCTGTGCCATACTACTATGCCTTACTATCGTACTTCCTTTCTGATGCAATGAAGCTACAAAATACCAGACTTTCTCGTACCATCTAATTCAACTTTTGATACGAGGCAACTGGTTGTGCCGTTTTTGCCCCAGGCCATAAAAACGTATTGTGTATGTGACTAGGTAAGCTGTTTTCACATGGCACGCTTTACATAAATCTAATACAAAACTTTCGAAACGCCAGACATAATGCCGGTTATTAACTGTGATGCACGCTACCCACTTACTGCGTCTAGAGCAGTGTTTCTTAACCTGGGTTCGATCGTACACCTGGGGTTCGATGAAGCCGTACCAGGAGTTCGACGAAAGTCCCCTGAAAGATTTGTAATATCATGAAACCTTCTTATAATCCAGCTTACTAATAATATAAAATTAGCCATAGTTTACCTCAGATAGTCAAACTTACACGATTAAAACCTCATAACACTGTGTGTAGCTTCGCGCAGATGTAAGTTTCATTGAACCTTCACTGACTGTTACACCTTAGATTTTAGTTACAATTCATGGAAAACACATATCGTCACAGATGCCGTACGCCAGGGTCGTCCAACTTTTTGGCCGAAGGGCCACATGTAGGTTACTAATAGGTGCGCGGGCCACTTAACATTGTAGATATTTTCTAGTTTTGTTACACTGACTACAGGTTAATGAAAAAACAAAGAATTCCCGAAAGTTTCGCCAAAGACAAGCCAAGACGCTTGAGCATTTTCATCACAGCTTCCAACAAATCAAGGTCTCTAGTCTATCCCTTAATAGGGGTAATTGCTGCGAGCTCTTCAGTAATTTCAAAATCATCAATAAGATCGCAAGAAGATCGCCAACTTAGCAGTCACCTTGATGTCAGTGCTTCTGTCAAGCGACGAGGAATACAATGAAAATTTTCCCGATCTTGCAATTAAAGTTTCTGCTATAGAGTTCCCAAGCTTTTCAACACGACACGAGTTATGGTATGTCTTTACAGGCTAATTTTGCAAACACCTCTTTCATTTCCGGCGGTAAAACATTGGCAACCCGAACAATACATAACATAATATATATAAATTTCTTGACGAATTCTCAATCTGAGGATGGCTTCGATTTTTCTGCGATAATGTTATATAGAGTAGTAAGTGACCAAGTGCGTAAGCGACTATGGCACCTTTATGTATCTATATCTCCTCCCAGATAGTTTCGATTCAAAATGGCACTCATGGCTCGTTTTAAAGGGCTGGCAGAGCGCATTTCAGGAAATAAACAAATCTTTTGTATCATATCTTCGTATACTACATCACTCAAAAAGTAGTTTTACTCAATTTTTTTACCCTGCCTTACGCCTTGCTGGCTTTCTATTATAGCGTTATTTTGGGCTTTCTGCATGCCTATGGACACAAAACATTTTAAGACTTAATGAAATCATAAAATCTAGAACCCGTCTTCGTGATTTTTTTTGTTGTAGCTGAATTCGAGGGACAGCACGACAACAGGCAAGAGAAGCCTCTTTTAGTTTATGACAGGGTTTCTTGAATGCGGACCCCGGTCTCCTTGGAGTTCACTGATCGGTTATCTGGGAGCACGAACAAACAGATGGAAATGCGAATATATAATAACAATGTATTTTTATAGAAGAGAAGAAGCAAAAGTGTTGAGAGTCTTTGGTAGTTTGAAAAGCATTGGGATGAAACATAAGAATGAACTACATTCTTTCCCATGGATATACTATAAAATGTAGCAATTTTCCCATTCTTGTTCTCGTGATAGAATTATCTTTCACTGCATTGCCGTGATCATCCCGCTGCATAACAATCCTTGCTAACAAATAATTGACTGTTCTCCACCGGTGTATATCCACTTGAACCACTACCGGGCTGCACTAGAAGGCTTGTATTGTTAATTGCAACAAAAGCGTGTATTTTGAAATAGTTCTCTTTATTTTACGCGTATGTTTTAACATTATTTTCATATATATGGGTTGCGACCCAAAGCTGGGTTTAACAAATACCTAAAAGGTATTGATTTTTTTCCTAGTAAATTTGGTGCTTCCGTAGTTTGTGCACCAAGATGGCGCACAACCTGAACATAGTATCGTAACAGGTTAGGGTTCAGGTTGTGCTCCATTATGGTGCACAAATTTGACGAAAAACACTAATACAAATATCGAGCCGTAAAAAATTGCTCAAGGCTGCAAACTCCACACCCATGTAGAAATGATGGGCAATGACCCCAAGATGAATAATCACAAATAAAAAAAAAACTTTATGTCTGAAAACAAGGTTGGGCCCAAAAAGGTCCCTTATTTCCCGGACTATCACGGCTTCCTCCACCATCAAGTCCATGCTTCCAAAAACAAGTAACTAACTAATCCCATACCCAGCATGGAATGGTAACAGGACGAGAGGCCGTGGTTCGCCGTATGGTTAACCCCCGGAAAAAATACGTAAATCCTATCCTATCTTGTCTGCGAATAACCAGAAATAGAGTCGCGGGCTCAATTTCAGAAAAATTTCTAATAGTAAAAAAAATTCTCAAAAAGTCTTCAAGGTAAAATAATTTTTTAACCTATATTTATGATGGTCATATTCGTATACGTTGTTTAGCAGAAATATACAATTAGGATTCATTATTGGAAGATCAGAGAACCGTTAAAGAAATAAAACTTTTCATAACTCATTTTCAATTTCTCTTTCTTTATTTACGCTCTTGATGTTGGGAATTCAAGTTATCGCCAGTAATTGTATCAGTCTATAATTACTCGAACATTTGCTGCTAAACATTCTCATCAAACCACCACAGCTGTTTCATTCGCTTCAAACAATTATATTGCCGTCCGTGAGTAGGCCTACAATTTATACATTTAACGTTATACCGGTCCGCCGAGGTACAAACTTTCCTTCGAAGGTTGAGAACCACTGCTTTTTAAGATAGTAATCAGCGTTCCTAAAGTATTGATTAAGTAATACAAAGTGCTACTGTCAAAAATTTCTTTTTTAAATAGAGACGCTTTAAACGCACTTCGCTCCAACAATTTCTCGTTAGCTTGGATCTATTCCAAGCGGATTCATTCGAAGAAATTTTTTTTTTTCAAAAGCCGATTTTTCTTCTCGGGTCCGGGTGTATGTCTGTGCGTGTGTTCAAACTTTCTAAATTTCTTTCTATGGACAATTGTATTTTTCTGGATCAATTCAAAAATGAAAAATTAGAATAAAATTAATATACCTTCCATCTAAACCAGTGGTTCTCAAAACTTTTTTTTATGTCGTCGCCTCTTACATTACTTTTTGCGTTATCATCGGCCCCCAGCATTACAACAAAACATGGTGTGACAAATAAATTTTTTGCAAATCAATGAAACGAATAGAGTATTCAAAGGACTAGGTTTTTTTGATAAGATGGATCAATTTCAACAAGGTTTTTTAATATTTGAAGACATTCAGTCAGATACAATCTCTAATCATCCTCACCATTATTTGATTTAATGACCCCGTTTCAACAAATGAGATATTATATACGAAAGAATCAACAGTTAAACTGCGTCAAAAATGCCAGATAACTTGCACTGTCTATACTACATTAAAATCGGAAACGAAATTTCCGATTGAAACAGTCGTAGCTGGCGATTATGCCGTTCGATAAAATTCCCGTTTATTAATTAATTAATTTACCATATTAATTTAATTATTTTCAACGTAACTCGCCGTTGCGCCTACTAACAATGAAATAAAAATATTATTGCTCTGAAATACTGCAATCTGCGTACATAAATATACATAATATACTGCCCGACTGTAATCAGAATTGATTCGTTTATTGCGATCTTGGTAATTTGTTAAATTTGAGCCGCTCAAAATTATTTTCAAGATATCGCCGTAAGCATAAAATTTTACATTATTACATTAATTAGTTTTATATCCTCATCACAATAAAGGAGTCGTGTGCAATCCAGAGGTAATTTAATAATGGATATTGGAATGAATAAACTTCGGGTGACCACGGTACAGTTTTCGATCAAAAATTACGGAATTTTGCGATTTAACCACGTCTAAAATAGAGTTTTTAACCTGTCGCGGCACTCGTAACACAAAATTTATGTTTTTTTCGTTTTATTTATACATATATTATGATACCAATTTTTATTCCTAATATTTAATTTTCAGTGGAAATTGGACTTGCGTATTCAATTGTTAGGTTGTATTTAGCGTCTCGTCCCAGATGATATCATAATAACGAGTTTTTCACACTTTACGCACAGTTCCGAACGAGAAATAACTCTTTATCGACGTTCTCTGGCATATTTCCAGGGGAATACTTGTGAGATAGAGAGAATTCGCGAAAATATAGTTTACCGATATAATACCGATGTTCACGGCCTAAATATCCACGTCATATTTGAAAAATCTATTCGCTTAAGGCAAGTCCTCCAGGCATGTTCTAACTTATATATATCACTAACAAGCAATGACGCAATGATTACAAGTGTCTAGTAAAGTAATCAGACCAAAACATTCACAAACTCACGATTATTTCATAAAATGAATATTGGAAAGTTTTTAAATTCATTGCATTGTATAATGTCCAGCAGATTTGACGATGGTGACCCCTTTTTCGTCAAGTTATCTGCAAGCTGTTTGACGATGTTACACCATCGGATTCTAGCAATCTCTTTGCTGGACATCATCTCTTTCAACATTGCTACTTCTATTCCTAGTCCTCTATCTTGTGCTTGCATGTTAGACTTTAGAGCAGGGGTCACCAAACTTTTTTTACCGCGAGCCAGGTATGACTCCAACTGTGTTGAAACGGGCCGGACAACTATTTTTATCAATGCAATACAGTAAATTCCCAGAAGTTGGGAAATCCATTCAATTTATTCAACAACATAAATTCTACGTCTGTGGAGTCTTGAATATTAAATTCTATATTACAGAATATAGATCAGAAACATTATAGCAAAACATGTATATATACAAGATTACTAGACAACTAACCTGAGGTTAGCTGTTAGCAAAACAGTTACTGTCATGAATATATGTAAGTAGTACAAAAGTTAACGTAATTTGTACTAATAGCGCAAAATGGAACATGCTAATTGGTATTATTCGTGCATTATGATAGCCGACTGAAAGTCAAAGCGTCACTTTTGGTTGACCGATCGGGACGCCGGGACAAGACGGTAAAAAGTGGGACTGTCCCGCCTAAAACGGGACGTATGGTAACCCTAACTATAAGGCATATCATCTTTAAATTTAGGAGGGTTTTGTCCTGTTACTGATGAAGCCATCTCAAAGAGCAGTAACCATCCTCTGCTACCATGAAAAGTTCATTCGCCCTCAAGGCAGATACACATATACAGGTCCTTCTTCCAGGCCTGTTCCAAACTATATGTCACCATCACCAAAGCAGCACCCTCACAAACATGTAAACAAATAATAATTTCTAAGAAACAGCAAGTAATGGCACAGTAATTACAAGTGTCTGGTACAGTAATCAGACCAAAACATTCACAATACTGAAAAAAACATTCGACGATTTTTGACTTTTCGCGGATCATATCGATCACTTTGATATCGCTGTTCTGGAATATCTGCTTTCAAGATGTAATACTGTTCACTGTTAGGATTGTTCACATACAACTATTTTATCCCGCCCGTACCGTGAACTTAAAATGATAATTGCATATCATCTGAATATCGGCTATTTGGATAATCAGCTTACAGTATCGGCGTTTTTTTTTTGTTGGCATCGGTAGCCTATATCTATAATATATGCCACGCTTAAGAAAATACACTTGTCATAGTTTCCATTGAGAAAAGGCATATCGGACCCCTAGTCGATAGAGTTGGAAGAATCATTGTGTAATATTTTAATAAATGTTGTTATAACAATTACCTTGATGAATTCTTCGAAGTTCAGTTTCATTAGCAATACCAGGAGCGCCTTTTGCACCTTTCAATCATTTTGCATCCGTCGGTCCCAATAAACCTTGTCGACCTGTGTTGCCAACATCTCGTCTATCTCCCTTCATCCCAAGCGGTCCTTTTTACCAGGAGGTCTTTTAATTTCAGGTTCATTTTGTAAATTTGTATTATTAGTTCGGAGCAAAAAATAAAAGTGATTGAATTAACAATTGTGATTTGAATTTTAATGCCCCGAGTGTGCGATAAAAGTATATTGAGAAACTTATGATGTTTGCAGAGAAAATGCATCCAACGCTTCAAAAAGCTTAATAGCCTTAATGATTGTATACCTTCAACCTAACATGGATATAAGTGCATAATTAGTATTATATTAGATTAATCATGATTTCTTTTTTCTCAGTTTTGACGGAAAATAAATAGAAACTGCTGTATTTTATTTGATTATTTGATCATTATTGGGAAATTCTCTGTTCATCAATTGAGATTGTATAGATCAGTGTTTCCCAAACTTTTTTCTGCCTCCTTGACCAAACAAGTCAAAGCAACTTAAACTCCATTTATCATTAGTATAATGTGTAGGTTGAGCCTAGTGAAATACCACCAGCTTGATAATATCTGGCCTCATTTCGGTCAAAAACAGTCTTGAGTCTCTGACACCCACTTTGGGAACCGCTGGTCTATAGATGTTGCGTATAAAAACCAAAAAACCAAAGTGTATACCACCTTTCGGATCTAGAATTAGCGCAGCCCATAGTCGTTGGTTTTGCAATTTTATTTGATCAAGCTACAATATCACAGGGATCAAAATGATGAGCAAATAATTCTTTCGCAAATCTTTGCTAACGAAAAACGTTTTTCAGTAATAAAATGGTTATTTTTATAATTATTCATCCAGAATTCTAGACGATATAAGAATAACAATCTCTTTACGCGAAATAGCAAGTATTTATGAGATTTCGTTAGATCAGTGATTTCCAATTGCAAACCGAAAAGGCGAAGCTGCATTGCATTGTTAAGCGATTTTTTTGTTTGATAGGTTCTCGTTCTCGTGTTGGATAGGTGTTCATTGCCTCGACAATGTCCTGGCGCCAAGAAATCACACTTTTATTGTACGATTTGTCGCGAAAAAGCTTCGCAAGTGTTAAAAACCTAACATTCTACAAAAATTTCAGTTCAAAATTTTTCCTCGACGGTCCGCGAGGTCTAGCTGAGGCAGTGGTCGGCAACCTGTCCGCTCGCAAACGTCTGGGTATTCATATATGATTAAAGACGAAAAAACTGCCGAGGTATATTTCGCAAAGATGTTTTTCAACTCAATATTATTTGAAATTTAAATAAACTGCCTATATAACACAATCTCATCGTCGACGAGACAATCTCATCGCTCGAAGAAGTTTCTAAAGCTTCATTGCATTATTTAAAAGTTTATTATGACAAAGTACGCAAAGTGGATAAATTTCGTTGCTGTCACGGCTATGAATTCATATTGAACATAAAATTCATTGTATTTGCGCTTGAAAGTCTTTTACTTCGTGAATGATGTTCCCGCTATATCTACACTCTCAATTTTGTTAGATATTGGGGAGCAGCCATTCGAGAATTCACATTGATGTTTATTCAGACATAACTATTGACGTGGTAAATGTTTGTCAAGTCAGACATGCTGCACAGATGTGTTGTGTTTGTCTGGTCTGGTCTGGTGTTTTTAGGGACTCATCCGTTTTTAGGTCACCTTTCTGCGGACCGGTAGTAATCTTTCCGCGGACCGGCGACCGGCAAGCAAACTAAACTCGACACTCCACAAGGAAGAAGAGTGAAAATCCCCAGATCCAACATAAAAAAAATAACAGTAACACAGCAAAACAACATCAAAATATACAATGGGAACTATACAAATAGATCAACCCTGAATCCGTCCATGTAAATTAGTTCAGACAGCCGAAATGGGCCAGACCAAATATTTCTAACCATTGATGGGATACAAGCAGTAGCGGAATTCAGCCGGTTCGCACCGGTTCTATAGAACCGTCTCGCGCCATTTTATGAGATTAGCGAACCGGTTGGCATTACTGGTTACTGTCAATGTTCGGTTTGTAACAGAACCGGCTGAAAAAATATAACTTTTGTGAGGGAACCGGCTGACAAAAAATTTGAATCCCACCACTGGATACAAGGCATTCGCACACCTTGCAATGTCTTGAAAATCAGCGATCCCGTTATGGCAGCAAATGAGTAGGGTGCACAGTTGACAACTAGGGCTGGGCATTTTCGAATATCTGATGATTTCAGAATTATATCGAATATTTTTTCGAAATTTTGCTCTGACCCGATTCGTGTAATTTACTATTCGAATATTAGATTCGAAATGCCCAGCACTATAATGACAACCAGCGTTATACCTGGCGTTCCAAAAGTTTTGTAATAGATTTATGTGGAGCGTGGCATGTGAATGCAGCTTACGTAGTCACATACACAATACATCTTTATAGCCTGGGGCAGCAACGGCAAAACCAGCAAATCAACCAGTTGCCTCGTATCAAAAGTTGAATTAGATGGTCCGAGGAAGTCTTTTATTCTGTAGCTTCATTGCATGAGAAAGAAATTACGATAGTAAGGCATAATAGTATGGCAAAAGCAGGCCTAGTGGCGACTCATGGGAGTAACTGCATGTAAGTGCATTGGAACTTATGTATATATTTATTGTTTTAAGATTATTCGTATAAAAATAGTTTATAACCTGGTTTTTATACACGGAAACTAGCACGGTCACCAGTTTCTAAAAATTATGAAACTTTTCTAAAGCGCCTGATTAGAAATCATGCTATGATCCGTCTCTTGAAACGCCTTTTTTAACACTCCAAATTGAGAACACTCAGTGCCTATTAGCAAAAATCTACTCCGACCCTCGACTCGATAGTGTAGAAATCTTCAAAAACATTTTGCATTTCCAAGGGTCTAGGTTCAGTTGGAAAGTTCGACTCTGATTGCTTATTTTTAGGAGTATATATGAAATTTTAAAAACCGAATTATTTTGAGTGATTTTAATTTCCTGATACTTTTTCAGATTTTCATTGTTATTTGCCATGATATATAACCAGAAACTGTTGTTTATATGCTCAAGCATTTACAGTGTCTGCTCAATCGCAGTTGTGCTGTTATTGTTCATGCAACAGAGCAGTAAACAGCACTTTAAACCTATAAACTTCCATCAATATGCGAAGTACTCGGATCAACATAGCACTAGTAATGAAATTTGTCCAGTATATTCGGAAGGATTGATAGGGAAACTCGAAGTCAATTCATCTTTTGTACCAACGGAGGATGCAGCCATAAAAGAGGCGGGTGAGCGCGTTATAAATGGGTGTTACGAACCGAAAGATTGCTATTCCAATCAGACGGTGGCTATAATAGTGCCGTACAAAAATCGACATCAGGATCTCATAACGCTTCTGCATCACTTGCATCCAATTTTGCAAAGACAATCGTTGAAATATTGTGTGTTTGTATCCGAACAATACGACGATGGAGCATTTAACAAAGGTCGTATAATGAACGCGGGAGTTTTGGAAATTTTACATGAAGCGAGATACGATTTTGACTGTCTTGTATTCCATGATGTCGATATGCTACTCGAAGATGATCGAAACCTGTACATCTGCGGTAATGCACCACGTCACTTGTGCCCCGCCATTGATAAATTCAACTATAAAGTAGCGTACGGAACGGGATTTGGTGGCGTGGGATCGATTAAAGTCAATCAATACAGGCTAGTAAACGGCCATAGTAACAGATTTTACGGTTGGGGTGGCGAAGACAGTGATATCGAATTCAGGTTTAAACTGAAAGGGTTAAAATCAGAATCTAACGATCCACAATTCGGTCGTTATAAAATGATACCACATGAACATCCTTGGCAATTTGACCCCAAAAGTGGTATTGGAAGCCATTTGCAAGCAAAGAATACAAAACAATTTGATTGGGTAAAAATAGTATTCCCACGATCTGATCCTAGTGGTATGAACAACATGAAATACGTCGTAAAGAATATTTCTAAACATAAACTGTACACAAAGATAAATGTTGACATTAGAATATTTGTGGTCAATAAAGCATCCGTTAGATTCGTTGGAAACTCTAATGAAGTGATAGTAGAAAACCCATTTATAACGAATGATAGATTAGACAACGAAAAAGAGAATTTTCGCATTCGAGGATATGGTCTGGATGCCGGAGACCAATATCCTAACCATGAATGCACGTACAAACATTTTGAAGGGAAAACTGTCAACTTGACATTAGGTCAAAAAGTTAGTGGTACATACGACATCCAATACCTCAATCTAGAAGAAGCCAAGTCAAAATGCTCAAATTTACAACGGTATTGCGGATCTATTGTGGAAACGTCTTCTGGTGTGTATTTTCTACGCTCTTCCTCTAATCTACATGAAAATATTCTAAAATATAAATTAGGTCGTCATCGCCAAAGGATATTTATTGAAAAACATGAAGACATTTCGGTTTACGTTAAAATTTGTTCAAGGGATATTCGTTATTTACAAATATTTGAAGCACCTGTGATATTACAGGATGAATTTCCATTGAAATCGATCGAACACCAAGCTGAGGTTGAACTTCTTGTGTATAATTTTGAAGACGTCAAATTAAGTTACTCGGTTTCGGTGTATACAGCACACAATGCAATCCTGAAAGAGAGGGAGGAAGTGTTTAACACGTCACTTGGAATATATGATTCTTTGATGTTTACATATTCACGTTCAGTGGAATTCTTTAGCTTGAGTGCATCAAATAAGTCTGAAGTCGTGATAGAAAAATCTAAATTTAATAGAGAGACGTTAATAGAAAAGCGGAAAAGTTTTCGAATCAAAACACCAAAAATGAAGCTGCTTCTCTATCCAGGCTGCTATGTTTGCGAAAGCGTTATAAAAGATCAATTTGGCAGTCCACATATGAAATGGAAGTGGTGGTTTGAGATTAGAGGAGCAACTCCGGATATGGAAATCAAACTACTAAAAGAGCACTTGCGCGTCTCCAGAGTAGGGAGTACAGAATTCACAGAAATACTAACTAAAAGATTGTTTCAAAAATTTCCTTTATTATACCGGTCTCAACTGGAGGACTCTGCTGTTACGAATATGATTCAACATCACCAAAATGAACTAATGCTTGAAAACTGGAAAAAGACTACTTTGTCAGGTAATGGTGCTGCTAAACGCGGGAAATCGGGGTGAGGCACTCTGACAATGTAGAGTAGACAATCAAGTGGTGGGATTCAATCTGTTGGTTGGACAACGACTGCATCCATCAGAAAACGACCGCAAATAATATGACATCCTCGCAAACACTTGCCATTTCCTAGTAGTGAAGATTGAGTTCTAGTTGATTTTTTTTTATATAACTATAATTATGTGCAAATGTAAAAAAATCATTTAATGATGTCGCGAGATAACGATTTAACGAGATCCCGTTGTACTAATCAAATCGTTTTGGAAATCTTTTTCAGAATTTGTCAAAAATGAGCATCTTCTGCAAATATAAAGAATGGAAAACAAGTTGTGAAATAAGTCACTAAAATTTTATGAAAATTATAACATTGGAGTTCACGGCAATGATATAAGCGGCTTTATGCCGCGACTGATCTACTTTTGTGCAACGAGTTGCACTGGATACAGTTGTGTACTTGTTATACAAGTAATACTTTTCTTTAAAGATGGACAGTTTGGAAAAAAAGATTGAAGTCTTAAAAAAATTGCATCATATTTTTGGTGCAAAAATATCTAAAACTCGATTAAAATTTTTTATGCCAGATTATGGAACATGCCCCCTGATACGTTTATAGCATATACACATCAGGAATATTTCTATAAACATGCATTTAAAATCTAATATCTCAAAGCTTATCGTTGAAATTAGTTAGGGAACACATTTGCACCAAGTATATAATCTTGTAGTACATACTTTCCATACAAATTCACGTTTTCCATGGTTGCTTTAACTTGAAAGTTGGATCTTGATTTGTTCTTGCATGTGGTATATTGCTTTGTCTTGTCATTTTTCTCTGCATTTGCCTTGTGTTTTGCAGATTTCACACTCTTATACCATTTTTATTGAGTCAGTAGTCTTTTTTACTTCTAGCAACAGAAAAATATTGATCCAATATCAATTGTCGCCGTCACAAGCTCGTTGCGGGTTGCGCCATTTTGGCTCACACATTATGCTTAGTCAAATAAGTCATATTACTTTTACCGCATCCGTATTCATTGAGGAATATCCTTAACATAAACCAGTGCGTTGTCTATTATCCCATAAATCATTGTGATTCACCTCATTACCGTAGTTTATTTGGAATCTGTTGTTGTTGTTGTTTTTATAAATATGTATTTTCAATTGACGTTTCCATGTTGCGTTGTTCATTTGCCATATTTGCTGCTGTAATTCAGCAACAAGGTGTTGCTGAGTAGAATACTCGCCAAACCTTTCGCGACCCCTCGTCGACTGATATGAGCAAATGTTACTTTTCGTAAACTTAATAAATGTACTTTATATATTTATTTCATTATATAGCATATTGTTTTTTTCACGGTGAAAATATATGCCTGAATTTGAATTAAAGGAATATCTGATAGTTCTAGTAAGACTGGAACAGCACACTGCCATCATAGATACAGCAGAAAACTACACAATTTAGTCATTTTTGAATCCGTTCACATTATTAAAATATTCCCGAAACTACACAAAACCCGATTTTTAATCTTGTGTAAATGTTTAATTTTTGTTTCCTTTAGTTTATATTTCAACAAGATTTTTTTTGGTAATTTATATCATTTTTTCGGAATGTCAATGAAAAGAATATTTATGCAATTTTTTTTCTGAAGATCCTTATCAGAAATCATGCTATGATCCGTCTATTGAAACGCCTTTTTTAACACTCCAAATTGAGAACACATAGTGCCTGTTAGAAAAAATCTTTTCCAACCCTCGATTCGAAGGTGGAGAAAGTTTGTCTACGGAAACATTTTGCATTTCTATGGCCTTTAGATCAGTTGAAAATTTCGACTCTGATTGCATATTTTTAGGATTATAAAATTTTGAAAACCGAATTATTTTGAGTGATTTTAATTTCCTGATAATTTTTCAGATCTTCATTGTTATCTGCCATGATATATAACCAGAAACTGTTGTTTATATGCTCAAGCATTTACATTGTCTGCTCAATCGCAATTGTGCTGTTATTGTTTATGAAGCACAGCATTAAACAGCACGTTGAACCTATAAACTTTCATCAATATGCGAAGTACTCGGATCAACATAGCACTAGTAAGGACATTTGTCCAGAATATTCGAAAAGATTGATAGGGAAACTCAAAGTTAATTCATCTTTTGTACCAACAGAGGATGCAGCCATTAAAGAGGCGGGTGAACGCGTCATAAATGGGTGTTACGAACCGAAAGATTGCTATTCCAATCAGACGGTGGCTATAATAGTTCCGTACAAAAATCGACATCAGGATCTCATAACGCTTCTGCATCACTTGCATCCAATTTTGCAAAGACAATCTTTAAAATATTGTGTGTTTGTATCCGAACAATACGACGACGGAGCATTTAACAAAGGACGTATAATGAACGCGGGAGTTTTGGAAATTCTACATGAGTCTAGATACGATTTTGACTGCCTTGTATTCCATGATGTTGATATGCTACTCGAAGATGATCGAAACCTGTACATCTGCGGTGACGCACCACGTCACTTGTGCCCCGCCATTGATAAATTCAACTATAAAGTGAAGTACGGCACGGGATTTGGTGGCGTGGGATCAATCAGATTCAGTCAATACAGGCTAGTAAATGGCCATAGTAACAGATTTTATGGTTGGGGTGGCGAAGACAGTGATATAGAAATCAGGTTTAAATTAAAAGGGTTAATATCAGAAGCTAAAGATCCACAATTCGGTCGTTATAAAATGATACCACATGAACATCCTTGGCAATTTGACCCAAAAAGTGGTATTGGAAGCCATTTTCAAGCACGAGATACAAAACTATTTGATAGGAAAAAAATAATATTCCCAAAATCTGATCCTAGTGGTATGAATAACATGAAATACGTCGTGAAGAATATTTTTAGACACAAACTTTACACAAAGATAAATGTTGACATTAGAATATTTGTGGTCAATAAGGCATCCGTTAGATTCGTTGGAAATTCTAATGAAGTTATAGTAGAAAACCCATTTATAACGAATGATAGATTAGACAATGAAAAAGAGAATTCGCGCATTCAGGGATATGGTATAGATGCCGGAGACCAATATCCTAACCAGGAATGCACGTACAAACGTTTTGAAGGGAAAACTGTCAACTTGACATTAGGTCAAAAAGTTAGTGGTACATACGACATCCCATACCGCAATCTGGAAGACGCCAAGTCAAAATGCACAAATTTACAACGGTACTGCGGATCTATTGTGGAAACGTCTTCTGGTGTGTATTTTCTACGCTCTTCCTCTTATCTTCATGAAAATATTCTAAAATATAAATTGGGCCGTCATCTTCAAAAAATATTTATTGAGAGACATGAAGACATTTCGGTTTACGTTAAAATTTGTTCAAGGGATATCCGGTATTTACAAATATTTGAAGCACCTGTGATATTACAGGATGAATTTCCATTGAAATCGATCGAACACCAAGCTGAAGTTGAACTTTTTGTGTATAACTTTGAAGACGTCAAATTAACTTACTCGGTTTCTGTGTATACAGCACACAATGCAATCCTGAAAGAGAGGGAGGAAGTTTTCAACACGTCACTCGGAATATATGATTCTTTGATGTTTACATATTCACGTTCAGTGGAATTTTTTAGCATGAGGGCATCGAATAAGTCTGAAGTCGTGATAGAAAAATCTAAATTTAATATAGAGACGTTTGCAGAAAAACAGAAAAGTTTTCGAATAAAAACACCAAAAATGAAGCTGCTTCTCTATCCAGGCTGCTATGTTTGCGAAAGCGTTATAAAAGATCAATTTGGCAGTCCACATATGAAATGGAAATGGTGGTTTGAGATTAGAGGAGCAACTCCGGATATGGAAATCAAACTACTAAAAGAGCACTTGCGCGTTTCCAGAGTAAGGAGTACAGAATTCACAGAAATACTAACTGAAAGATTTTTTCAAATAATTCCTTCAATATACCGGTCTCAACTAGAAGACTCTGCTGTTACGAATATGATTCAACATCACCAAAATGAACTAATGCTTGAAAACTGGAAAAAGACTACTTTGTCACGTATTGGTGCTGCTAAAGGCGGGAAATCGGGGTGAGGCACTCTGGCCATGTAGAGTAGACAATCAAGTGGTGGGATTCAATCCGTTGGTTGGACAACGACTGCATCCATCAGGAAACGACCGCAACTAATATGACATTGTCGTAAACACTTGCCATTTCCTAATAGTGAAGATTGAGTTCAAGTTGAATTTTTTTATATAACTATATTTATGTGCAAATGTAAAAAAATCATTTAATGATGTCGCGAGATAACGATTTAACGAGATCCCGTTATACTATTCAAATCGTTTTGGAAATCTTTTTCACAATTTGTCAAAAATGAGCATCTTCTGCAAAGATAGAGAATGGAAAACAAGTTGAAATAAGTCACTAAAATTTTATGAAAATTATAACATTGGAGTTCACGGAAATGATATAAGCGGCTTTATGCCGCGACTGATCTACTATTGTGCAACAAGTGTTACACTGGATACAGTTGTGTACTTGTGATAAAAGTGATACTTTTCTTCAAAGATGGACATTTTGGAAAGATTGAAGTCTTAAAAAAATTGCATCTTATTTTCGGTGCAAAAAATATCTAAAACTCAATTAAAATTATTTATGCCAGATTATATAATGTGCTCCCTAATACTTTTATAGCATATACACACTAGAAATAATTTTATAAACATGCATTTCAAATCTAATATCTCAAAGCTTATAGTTGAGATTAGTTGGAGAACACTTTGCATCAAGTCTATATAATCTTGTAGTAGCCTACATACTTTCCATACAAATTCACGTTTTCCATGGTTGCTTCAACTCGAAAGTTGGATCTTGATTTGCTCTGGCATGTGGTATATTGCTTTGTCTTGTCATTTTTCTCTGCATTTGCCTTGTGTTTTGTAGATTTCATACCCTAATACCATTTTTATTGAGCCAGTAGTCTTTTTCACTTCTAGCAACAGAAAAGTATTGATCAAATATCAATTGTCGCCGTCACCAGCTCGTTGCGGGTTGCGCCATTTTGGCTCACACATTATGCTTAGTTAAATAAGTCATATTACTTTCACCGCATCCGTATTCAATGAGGAATATTCTTAACATAAACCAGTGCGTTGTGTATTATCCCATAAATCATTGTGATTAACCTCATTCCCGTAGTTTATTTGGAATCTGTTGTTGTTGTTTTTATAAATATGTATTTTCAAATAAAGCTCCCATGTTGCGTTGTTCATTTGCTATATTTGCTGCTGTAATCCAGCAACAAGGTGTCGCTGAGTAGATGGCTCGCCAAACCTTTCGCGACCCCTCGTCGACTGATATGAGCAAATGTGACTTTTCGTAATCTCAATAAATGTATTCTATATATTTATTTCGCTATAACGCATATTTTTTTTCACAGCAAAAATATATGCCTGGATTTAAATTAATGGTATATATATATGATAGTTTCAGTAAGAATGTAACAGCACCATGCCATCATAAATATCAGCGCAAACCACACAGTCTAGTCATTTTTTGAATTCTGTTCACATTTATTGAATTATTTCTGAAACTACATTAGACCCGATTTTTAATCTTATTTACATGTTTTATTTTTGTTTCCTTTAGTTTATTTTTTAACAAATTTCGTTATTTGCTAATTTATACCATTTTTTCGGAATGTCAATGAGAAGAACAATGTTGCAAAATGGTCGAAAACATCAGTTTTAAAGTCCGTTTTCGTTGATATATTTTTCGTCAAATTGCATAAATATACACGCCCAAGCAAGAAGAATGGATTACTTTTCATACGTTTAAGAAAAGAGGGTGGAGTACTACGAAAACAGTTTAGTTGGTCTGGTAGTATTATGAAATATACCAATATTTGCTTGTCGTTCAGTTAGTTTCCAAGATTCTATTTCATTGAACTTTATTTGCTTTATTTCCAAATAAAGCCTCGTGAGAGTCAGTGGTACAGGCATTGGATTAGAATTAAGCAATAGTGTAAGTGAGAATCAGATATTCTAGCTATATTTATATTTTTGTATTGATCGCTGGCTATATGCTGATATTTATGGTGTATATATGATGTTTCTTAATGCAGTTTTAGATTATATTCTTTTAGCGCCGACAAACCTTGCAGACATGCCCAGAAAGTACTTTTCTCCCATGACAAGTTGGAAAATCTGTTTGATTTGGTCTGCATTATTGAGCGGCAAGATTCCTATGTCGATTAAAATGGTCATCTTTTTTCTTGCTACAGCATCCATTATACGCAGATCCGCGTTTGTCTCGCGTAACCCCAACAGATAATTGTGTTTGAAGGTAAGCAAGTTTAAAGGTATAGTGACGCGTATATATGACCTAACGATGCTAGCATCACATAACAGAGACTTTATTTTAAAACCTTTCGTAGTTAGGTTTAAATTTTAGTACGATATATTAATAATCAATATCAATCTAATATTAATAAATACCTCATATCTATAGTGTAATATTTGTGATTTGATGTGAAATGAATATGTAGGGTGTAATGCGAAGTTCTATAGTGATGGGAGAAAGATACGATTGTACATATAAATGGAGCTGATGCTCATCGTTGTTGTAAAAGTAAATGATAGTCATAACGTTGCTAAATGGCGACGAACATATGTGTATTTCCCGGTTTATATTTAATTCAACTGTAACGACAACCCGTATAGAAGAATGATGAAAACCTATGATGAACATCTTCGAGAAACATTTTTTTACCAGCTTTATGTTTGTATTCGAGAGAAGTCAAATACTATGGTTGTTTATAGTTAGCCTCCCTTGTATCCATCGGGTATAGCACAAACGAGGTCACTTATAAAGTCTGGAATGAACATGAGAAACCTTTTTGTGAAGTTTCATACGATATCAAACTGGTGATTGATTTTCGGCAACGTCAACGCTCTCACATGTACACCCTAGAAAGAGTCAGCACTTTAAGGTATAAAATTTAAAAAGGGTATATAGGTAGCGTGTCATTATAGAAACTAGGAGAAAAGGAATACCAGTTCACTTGTAGATACTCGTTTGATTTGCGACTTAAGTGAATAGTGAATGCCACCCCAATGTCACTTAAAAAATTCCCAATACTCGGGCAAACGCTTTTCCTCCCCGAGACGGAATTTAACGGCCTTCAAACGCCAAAATCACTCTAGCGTGACATGAAGGATGGCTTGATTGATAGGTAGCCTGTTCCGGCCACTAAAAGGCTGTTTTTGGCTCTCTTCCCTTCGACCGATCGTTCTGAAAATTGTTCTGTGTCAGTTTTGTAACACTTTCAGGGTTCACACCCAATTTCATTCGGATCGGCCCGCTAGTTCTCTGGGAAGTGGTCAAAGCCTTACCAGTACCGGTACCTGTTGCTGTAGGCCTGCTATTCGATTGTGGAACGGTTCTTTTCTGGCATATTAAATCCAATTCAATTTGCTCTTGTCAAAATTAACAAATACGGTAGGCTAAATTTGCTAGAAAACCTACACTACTGCAATTCTGACGCATTCATGCTTGACCAACGGTTACCAGGCGACGAAAACTGCATGTATACGCGCTAACCGAGACTCCAGGTTTGTTACATTATTTTTGTCTACTGCTTGACTTACCGGTGCAAGATACCTATATATTGTATCGCTTTTGAATGCAGGAACAAAGCGAATATCAATAAGGATATTTCAGGTTCCCGAATAGGAAGTGAACGGCGACAAAGGTGTGCAGCGTGTCGCAGAAATAACAGCGATGGAACGAATACTAAATGAGTATTCAACTAGCCTATATAAGATGTGTAAATAGTTTGCAGGGTGACTTACTATGACCATATCAATGCGCAATGTTTTTAAACATTCATTTTCGTTTTGTTCTCTCTGCGTGTATACTGTTTTAACAATGCTGGCCACGTCAATATATCAATTAGGCTACAAACCTGTTCACGTGTGATTAGTGTTTTTCTTGATAATTGTTTTTATTAGTGTCCGCACACCAAATTTGCCGTCATGATTTTGCGTTTATTTGTATATTGAACCACTCTTCACCTTTTCCGCAATGTCCCGTCTAGCAATCAGTGTAGTTTTTTATGGCTTCGTTCTTCCTAAAGCTTTCATGGCTTCATGAGTATGACTATCTTTGCCAATTTATTACATCCCACTCCCCACATTATCTTTGCATAAGATTATATTGGTAAGCACTTTATCAGTGGTAAGTATCCATATGTTTGCCAATAGTTTTTTCTATTTCTGGAATTGCTCTATTTCCATATGTAATTAAACTCTTGTAATGCACTTTATTGTTTTTTTTTCCTGACTTACACTTATGCACTGTACCATTGCACTTCTTCATTGGTGAAATAAACTGAAATATTTAATTTCGAAAAGTATCTGAGTTGTTGTCATGTCAAAAAAATTGCAAGAAATCTATTTTTTAGGCAAACCAGTTAGAGATCCCTGCCATCCAGACTATATTCTATCATTTTTTGTATATTCGACCACCTCAAGTAAATCGAATTTAAAAAGACTTTCCAGATACAGCAGTGCAAAAGATAGAAGTGTGGATACAATGAATAAATATACAGTACAGTTCGCATAAAAAAGCGTAAAGTCATAAAATAGAATCAGTCAATAGAAATCCAGAACCAGTCGATACTGCAGCTTCATTCCATAGTGAGTCAAATGCAACCGCCAAACGAAATCAATTGGAGTAACTCGAGGAGAAAAATTTACGAATCAGAAAGGAGAAAGATGAAGCTTTAGACAAATTAGTTAATTTAGAAAACTTTGAGGCAAAACTTTTGCAGCTTAGAATGGAGAGAAATGAGGCAGTGGAAAAACTGGAAAATTTTACGGTTTTTAGTTACAAGAACTTGAGCAAAAAGCCAAAGAAATCCATTTACTATACTGGTTCACAAGTAGAAACATTTGATGTTATGTTCAATTTCCTCTGCCGCTGTTTGCCAGATCCGTGCTATTATAAAATGAAATATGTGGATCAAATGCTCATGAAACTACGCTTAAACGAACATTTTGATAGCAGACATATTCGATTTGTCTAAATCAAATCTCGATAACGCATTGTGGTGCTGGATTGATTTAATCCAAAACAAAAAGTCGTTTCTGATTTGTTGGACTTAAAATATTAAAACACTACCACCACTTTTTCGACAATACTCCCCAAGATTGGCATCATAGACTGCTGTGAAATATTAATCAATAGACCGAAACGATTACTTGCCCGAGCCCAAGTATACTCTAATATATAGGTCCATTCTTCCAAGTGACACATCTTAAGTTTTTCAAAGTAGGCTAGCGTTTTATTGTATTGAAATCCGGGTGGTGAATGCTATATACAAAAGCTGACGACGCCATTATGTGGATTATTGCACAACAATAAAAAAGGAGATTATTTATAGTCTATATACGCGTTACGTACAGTACCGTATGCTGTTTAAAATCTGGAAATGACAGACAAAAAAACTTTTACAGACCAAAAATACTGCAGTGTTAACACCCTGTCTCATCTTAACATATTATCATAAAGCCTTGCACTATTAAGCTGCAGGAACAAACAAATGCCATGCACACATAGGCTATACCAACTAACGCTACAAAATAGATATGCTTTAAACACAACTGTAGGGAACGAACGCGCAAAACAGTTCAAATAGTTTGATCCCGCAACCGCTTGAAATAAGTTTCAAAGCAGTGTTGCCATGAGTAAATGTTAAAACAGCGAAATTTTGAATAATCAGATTTCATAGAATTCATAGAAAATTTAGAAATAAATAAAAGTAATAACCTTCTGGAGAAAAAATTTATCTTTAACCACTGAAAATTTCAAAGCAATTGGTCCAGTATTCGAAGAGAAAAGCGACTTTTTAAAAACGTGTCAAACAATAAGAACAACAACAACATAATATTGAAACGATCGCTGTGTCCACTACGTGTTCAATAATAATTTATCGTAGGCTATGGTTTATGAGGGCTATATATACTCAATATAACTATAGAGCATCTTATACATTTATATTTAAAAAATTGCGATGAAGTTTACTATGGAAAAAGTTATGTGCTGATCACAAATGATGACCAACTGAATCTTAATAAAGCAAAAGCGATTTGTCGTAACATCGGCGGAAATGCAACAAATATTTACAGAAAAGATCATATTTATGGGATGATTGCGTTAATCCAGTCACGTATTTTCATCGGGAATAATTATCTTAACATATGGACGGGACTGATATATTATAGAACACGAATGTGTAAGCCTTTACCTATGAAGGAAAGCCCTAATTTCTTGAAACATTAGCAGCATTTAATGCTTATCGATTTTAATCGGTAAGTATGTTGATAAGTATTTGTCTGTTTGTCTGTTAGGTGCACGCGATATCTCACGAAAGGGAGATTGAATCTGCTCCAGATTTTGCATGTGCATTCATCATATGTCGGACCAGAAGCCTATTGATTTTGGATGAAATATGTCGTATAATTAGCGAGTTATTATTTAATTAGTGATGGGACACAAGGTGTCACTATGGAGTAAGAGCGCTGTTTTGGGGGATCCCCTAATTTTCTATCGATCAGTCTTCAGTCTCGGACCGATATTCTCGTTTACTATTTGCAACTTTCATAATTAGCCTTTATCGAAAAAAAAAAAAATTAGACCATCCAATCCTGCATGAACAACGCTGAATCGAATACGAATAGTGCAAATCAAGGAATGTTTGAACCTACTACTGCCAGACTTCCTGGAGCTTCATGTGAAATGTAATTAAACGCAAAATTTATTTTCTATTCTTTGGTCAAAGTTTATATGCTTCGTTTGAAAAAAAGGACATCTATCAGATTGAAATTTGAATTTATTATCTCGATATGCATATGCGTAAACATATAATACCAGTGAAAAGCTGTTCAGTTGCAGCATTTGTGATAGGGGATTTGCGCAAATCTAAACGTACATATGAGGAGACACTCAAACGAATATCAATTCAAATTCGAGATATGTGGTGTTGCTAAAGTAAAAAATCTGAGTTGTATTTCAGTTGCAGCATGTGTGGAAAAGCATTCTTGCAAAAATGAAACTTAAATTTGCATATGAGAAGACACATGAATGAATATCAAGAAACGATGTAACCCAATGCCAAATTCCTAGATTAGCTTTTATTTGTGTCAGTTATTTATTATACATAGGATTTTCATTCATCTTCCAATTCGTTATCTTTAGAATTATTTGATTTCTTTGTATTTCAACTAGGGTGCCTTTGCCAACTACGGATTATCCTAAAATGATATACATCAGGATGGTCCAAGGTTGCGAGGTTGAAGGGCCACAAAAACTTTTGAGAAGGTCTCGCGGGCCGCAATCTGAAAACAAATGTGATTAAAATATTGCGAGCTTACTTACTTTAAATGTGTTAAAGATACCATACTAATCAGCCTATTGTTATGTTGCATGGGTTTTATTTATTACAAAGGAAAATATATAAAGACTTCAGTTGTTTTAAAATTGCTTCCCGAGAAGTATGTGGTATTTTCCGCATCTTTTTGTGTTTGATTTTGTACAGTCGCTTCAAATTATAAAACACACCAGGCACTGTGATTTACCGTTGTTGTGGATAAGGAAATACGTCTCCTCCCAGTTTTTCTGTGTCATCTTTCTTTTGACAATACTCGTTTTATGAAAAACTGATTTATTTTATAACTCGCAGCGTGAGCAGGCCTAATGCTATCGTCAAAGTACAAACAAGTCCGTCTAGGTTGGGATAAGGAAATTGCTTGACACGAGCTTACAGTGCGAAGTTGACAAGAAAAGCGCGATTCATCTCATCGGCTGGGTCTTGTCTGCACAAGACAATACATTCTCGTCGTACCGATCACAGGAAGTCATTCCCATATTGGCAGCGGTTTGACGTTTATAGATGCAACATTGAAATTCGTGATTTTATCAAACATCATTCTTAACATCGGGATTAGGAAAGGGGTTTAAATCTCGGGACCCCAACCCCAGTTGGAATAGAGAAAAAACTCTTAAATATTCTGCTAATGAATACAAATATCTGTTAGTGGTTCAGTATACGCTAAAATTGTTTCTCGGGCACCACGGAATGTGTCCGAGGACCGCATGCGGCCGCGTACCAGGGTTTGGACCACCCTGACATACATCATACAAATTATGTAAAATTTATTTGTAATATGAACTGGAAATATAAATCGTTGAAATGATATAAGGAAAGAATGTGAACATTGAATTCGCTCAATAAGATCAATAATGGTACTATGCAGTTTAGATACATTGCAGTGAATTTCATATTATCTCACTTACTTACCTAATCATTGTTGTATAAGAAAAATTTCAATAATAGCAGAAAAAATGATTGGATCTAGGGCAGGGCAACTCAACTATTTTTACCAAAGATCCGCATACAAAACTTCAAAATTATTTGTGTCCGGTCTTTCCAGAAATTATATTTCCACAACCTCAAACGCGCACTTCCTCGGTCAGCTAATGATTATTAGCAAATCAAGATTGCTTATTATGGAGTTATAGTTCTTTTCATATATATATATTCAAAAGTCATTTTATAAAAGGAAACTGCTAAAGTGGGGCTAATGATCCAAATTGAAGAATTAGGTTCGGTCCTAATCCAATACTCGAAAGGTCCAGATTCGGCCCGCGGTCCACCAGTTGAGTAACCCTGATCTAAGGCATGGGTTATGAAAAGGTGAGAAATAATATAGGACTCAAGAGTCTTGCTGCACACTAACACAAATAAATTTCTGTAACGTTTCGTCTGATCAAGGTCAGACATCTTCGCCGACACAAAAGCATAGAAGAAGGATAAGTAGTTAGTCTCGCAGAAACCAAATCATTAGCAATAATAAAAGACTTTGAATATTTTATAAACTTTTGCCATTTCGTATACTGTTCAATGCGACAAGGGATTTTGTAAGTGTAAGAATTTGAACAGGCATATAAACCATCGTTTAATTAAAGAAATTTGTGTGTAAAATATTCCAATAGGTATATTTGGATTCAAGCCTCGTTTGAACTATCATTTTGTCGCACATGAAACAAGGTTCCAGTGAATGCACTAATGTCGTTACTTTGGTATAGTGAGTAAAATTGGAAAGACCGGAATTCGCACGCCCAACGTATATTCATTTGAGTTGGTCGTAATAAATTTCTGGCAAATTGCTTATTCCATTCAATGATAATTTATACAAATATATTTCACCGCCAACGCGTATATTTTTCTTGTTTTTAAATGAAAATCAATGGCCAACCTTTGCCTATTCATGAATAAAAACGGGCATTCAGCTTCGATATCTTGTTTATTTTTTGTTCAGTTTGCTCCTTATGCATCCGTTGCTTATAAATTCACTCAATCGATCACCATTGCTCCAAACTTAACCATTGTATTTTAGCTAATATTGTTATGCAATCTTTCTGCAAAACAGAACCCACTTGAAATTCTAGTGTGGCATGACTATGAGAAATATTTTTGTGAAGTTTCTCACGATATGAAATTAGACCGCAGCGCCAATATTTCAGAATTTTCATTTTTATTATTCCATTACTCTACTTGCGTATATAATCATAAATGAAGTTGTTGTTAATCCGAAAGTTGGTTTAGGGGGAATGTAAAATAATTTTAGCATATCATTTTCTTTTGTGAATTGATCCAGAATAACGGGATCGCCTATAAATATAAATTAAGATAATTTCAGTATTCAGGTTTAAAAAATATTTAGAAATTTCCAACAAACGCGCACACACGCCCGAAAAAATCGGCGTTTAACAGCATACAAAATAAACAGAAAATAGATATTTTACTACACTACAAATAGCGTGTCACGATAGAAATTAGAAGCAAGGAATATCAGTACCAAGATAGATACCGTGTTCGATTTGGAACTCAGGTGGATAGATTGACAATGAAAATGAATTTGTGCAAAATCATTTATGTGTCTATTTTGATGCTGGCTTTAAGCTCATGTCTTGTACAAGGTCACGGCAATAAGAAAAGAATGGTCTGTGAAGAGTTAGATGATGTGTTCGGAAGTGAGGATCAACGTCGACCCCAATTCAGATCTGAAGTTAATGGACCTCCTGGCAAAAAGGGACCGCCTGGAATGAAGGGAGAGAAAGGAAATGTTGGTAACACAGGTCGGCAAGGTTTATTAGGACCACCAGGTGCAAGTGGATTGAAAGGTGCAGTAGGCGCCCCTGGTGTTGCCGATGAAACTGAACTTCGAAGAATTCATCGAGGTAAATTTTATTAAGAATATTAAGGAAGGTTTTTGACAATATTAAGTGACAAATGGATCGATGAGGCATTCTCACCGGGGTTTAATCATGCATCATGCATTCTAAGTAGTTACTAATTAACAATTTTTTGGAAAGTGCATATCTAATGCCTAGCGTGGTTGGTTGCATAGTTAACCTTTAACATTGATAAATTTATTAATATCATATAACTAAAACAAATGAAAATGAAATATTAATTTTGCGTTTTAGCAAAAACCTTTCACGCTAACAGCCTTCCAAATCGAGAACTATCACTTACTCATGTGTGTTTTCAACTAACGCGTATCAAAACAAACATTGCTATAAGTTTTTATAACTCAATATTATTGAATATAATTTTATTCTTATCATTCAGAAATTGCGGATTGGGAAAGAAAATGTTTGACTAGAAGACAGCTAGGTATGATATAAAAAAATATTCTTACCTAGTTCAGCTTAGTATAAAAGACCACTGACCAACCAATATTTTTCTACAGACCGAGCTGGAAACCGCGAAGTTAGATATACGTTTCACAGCTTGTGATATAAAAATATTCGAAAACAACATAAGAGTTTTATATATATTTAAAATATCCAAATCATCTTACACATTCCCACTTATATTTAGAAAATTGCGATGAAGTTTACGATGGAAAGTGTTACTTGTTAATCACAAATGATAACCGACTAAATCTAGACCAAGCAAAAGCGAGTTGTCGAAACATCGGCGGAAATGCAGCAAATATTTACAGCAAAGATCATTTCTATAATATGGTTGCATTAATCCGGTCCCGAATCGTCATCAGGCATTCTTACCATCACATATGGACGGGAATGACATTAAACACGAGTGTAAGTCTTTACTTGCAAAGTAAAACCACAATGTTTTGTATCATTTGCATTTATTACTTTGCGCAAAGTTCATGTTGAACTTTTTTCTGTTTGGTCTTTCAGACAAAAAGTATTCACTTATCCAATGGAAGAACAGCTGTCTACACACGCTGGTTTCCAAATAGACCATTCAATCCTGCAAGACCTTACATAGGCATTCACGTTTCATCGGATCCAAATCATGTAAATCACGGAATGTTTGATGAAAATCCTTCATCCAGACTTCTTGGGGTTTTGTGTGAAATGTGATTGAACGCGAACTTTAATATGGCTTCTTCGTTCAAAGTTACATTTGGTCTTTATATCTGCTTTATATGTGTATATATATATATATATATATATATATAATTGACTGAATGAACAGCTTCACAGTTGTGGAGACATATACCCACGAATCGTTTTTTACAAATTATTCACCAAAATCGTGAACGCAAATTGGTAATAACAAGCTTATTTACATTCAAAGAATGAGTACTGCAAATTGATGGAAATGTTCTAAGAGTTAATTACGAGTAAGGTAATTTAATCCAAGAATGCAAACTTCAATATCAATGTAAACAACGCAACTAAGTATATATATTTATATGGATTTATAGACAGTTGGAAAAATCATACAAGTGAGCAATGTCTTTGGAGACACACACAGTTGCATCCTCGCATGGAAGCAAAAATGTTCAATATTAGTAAGATTTTAAGTGCAAAGTGCGCTTGAAGCGACAGCGAAAAATGATTCCACGATTTTTTAATATAAAATTATTCTAAGACAAAGAACCCTATATATGGGGTTTTCTAATTCACCATGAATGGATAATGACCTCCTCAGTCAATATGGTTGTCGATAATAAAAAAAAATTCTTTTCAATTTTGATTGGTTTCACGTCAAAGTGCACGCCCGTCTTTAAATTACTGGTATTCTCAGCTAAGTTCAGAAATGACTGGGATTGAAATATTTAAGTTTCATGTACGCGGTGATAAAGGGGATTGAAATACTATACTTGTACGTGGTAAGGTCGTCAAAACATCTTTTATATTGTATGTTAGTCATGATATGGTATATATATTTTTTCGTTAAAAGTAACTTCATCAATGTAATAAGGAAGACAAATATCTGATTAAATTTTAAATCAAATAGTCATCACATTTCATAGCCTGCCTAGTAAATTTATACAATGGTGTTCAGGTATTCCCACTTTGTAGAATGAACTACTTAATTTCATATATGTTCATCAAATATTCCTACAACAAATTGAATATTATGCCTTTTATGTGTGGCATTTTCATTCACTTGTTTCTTATATAATGTAAACGTTAATCGTTCCTAATTCATCCGTGTTCTGTAACGTATGATTGAGTGGTATTGCATTTCTCTTTGTTATACTTTTGAAAATACCAAAGTGATTTGCACAGAAAAATCGAAATTAGAAAAATAGGAATCAGGATAAAGCTGGAATTGAAATATAATGATTATGTTTGGAGGTATGATATAAATATTGATTCTTTCGTTAAAGTCTGTATCATAGTTCCATAGATCAGATGAAGAGATACAATTCGAAGGAGAAAGATTTCGATGATATTAAAATAACTGACTATATATGACATCCGACGGACATATTATTGGTGCTGTATGCTCTTTAAATTTTTGTATATTTATAGAAATGTGCTATGGTGTCACTTCGTTCCAATTCATTTCAACTATTTTCCCGTGTCTATACTAAAATTTTAGATCGACACACCAGACAAAATATTGTTACATGGACTTAGAAAGTGAGACCTAAGAAAGTGAGATACCCAGGCTTGTCCATGGGAATGCGATTCCCATGGGAATCCCATGGGATGGGATGGGACGGGATTATTTTCATATTGGACACAGAGTGGACCCATAGATTCACTTGTAAATTTTTCATTTTTTGCACGATGTGGACCATCGATGTAGACGATATAAACCGCTCTTCGCTTCATCTACTAAACTAGATCAATGACTCTCACATTTTAGTGGTTGAATAGCAGGTATCTTTTATTAAGCTATCATTATTGGACACGAAATGTCAACATTTTATTCCTCTTGGTGCTGAGAGTTTTACTAGCACAGGTCATTGTATTGGCACATGTACAGAAAAGGTAATTCTTATCATAACCTGACATTCAGCTGTGAGCTATAGGGTCGATGCGGTTGGTGCGATGGAGCCAAGCTGGTGATACAGGCTAATTGTCACTCTTTCAAGCCCACTTCACCTCTGTCGAACGATAAGGATCCGGACCTTTTTTGTAAAGTAGCATCAGTACCTACTTTTATAGAGCCTATTATAGAAAAAAAGTGGTGAACATCCAATGAAGCGTCAAATTTTATGACTTACCCTTATTTGAATGCTTTCGCAGAGAATAGACCCCCCTGGAGTTGACAACATCACTGCTTTAGGGTGACTCTGCATTCTCACGTCGACGGAAGAAAATCAAGGTAAAGACATATAAATATATTTGTGTTCGTGTGCAGCAAGACTCTTGAATTGACTAGAATAGCCATTTACACTCTAGCTAAAGCATCCTTGCGTAATACGCATACGGATCCACAAGCGCAAAGGCATATATAGCAAGAAAAGGTAGTTAGTTTCACGCAACCTCAACTGTTAGATAAGGCATATAAGGTAGTTTTCCTTGAAGTATTATAATACTTCATTGGATGTTGTTAACTTGCTGAAACGTTCTGGGAATCAGCAATATCCCAGTTATAAGCATGCTATTACGGACATATAAGATCAAAAAACATAAAATTCTGTACGCAAGCAAAAACCTTTTCAGAATTTTCAACAGTGCAAATATATTCAAGTGATAAAATTTATTGACATATTCTGCAAAATATGAGTTCCTATCTGTAAAAACTAGTTTGATGTATTGCAAATTGAATATCTGGCAATTAGGTTATTCTCTTGAAAAATTATTTAGTATTTTCTCCACGGTTATGTAAGCTCTTTTTACAGACGGGGTCGAACTTCCATACCTGGCATATGACGATAATTACGTTTTCAACTACCAAGGAACAAGATATCTCAAACCAGGGGTTATAATCAAGAAAAAGATTATTTTTAAATGAGATGTGTTCATAACACTCTGGATTGAAGGATGATGACGCAGGTTTTATGATTTCCAGCAATAAAACTATATCCACCCACACCTACAAACAAAAAAATGTATCTACCAAAACAGTGTTTCAACCTTCTTGCCGGCCCGCTAAATATATATTTCAATATTATATCTCGATTGCAAAATGCAATTGCAGCAAATTGCAAATGCATTTGTTTTGTGAGTTTGATCAGTTTGATGCGTGCACCAGGTCCTACGCCCATTTCAAGCCTTGAATGGCTAGATGTTTCGTTGAGTCTATGACGTCATGTGGGAAAAATCAGAACGGAGGAGCACATATTAGGCTACTTGCCTTGATTGAGCTTCCTGCGATACCACGTTGATGTCTAAGCCTAAACCTTGCCATTGTCACATTTTTGGATATCGCTTGAAAATGACTATCGTGAGCTCAGTGACAAAACCATTAAATTACTGCTAATATTTTGTACAACTCACTAATATTAGAAAAACTTTCCATTGTTATCTCTCATCAAAACCAAACAGAGAAATCGTGTGGAAGTCAACGCTCTACTTCACTAGAAACGCATTTAACACGTATATATGCTATCAAAAAGACAGCAGCAAGTGTTTCATTAAAATGAATTGTCTGACCTCTATGCGTACTCTCGTCCTAATTACATTAGTTTAAATATATTTTGTGTTTTTAACATTTTGGGTTGATTTTGAAGGTTCACCGGTCGGAAAATTAGGTTTGAAATTTTGGCGGTACGCAAACCAAAGAAAGGTTGAGAACCACTGTACTAAAGGTCTATCTATAGCCATGAAGCATTAGTTCATACGCATGATATTTTGGCGGCATAAAGATTGAAAAAAAAACATTGCATTCAGACCTCGCGCTGCTCTTTTGTTTATATAAATTACCTCTCTATAATTTTAATTTTTGCAGGCAGGATTGAGTACTAAGCAAGAAATGTGTTTTATGTTATAACAACGAAACTTGCAAGAAGGAAATCTGGTGCTTGTTTCTGACACCGTTGCACCTAGAGGACGCTGGCAACTTGGTCGTGTTATTCGAATTTACCAGGGTTCTGACGGACGCGTCCGAACTGTCGCGGTTAAAACTATAAATGGCATGCATAATCGGCCCGCATCGAAAATATGCCTCCTAGAAGAATGACTTGCCGTGGATAGTCATGGGGGTGGCTTTCTCGGCAGTTTGAATGCTCCTAGGATTTTGTTTAGTTCGGGCATCTTCAATTGTCATCGTGATGATTATCGCTATTTCGTCGTCGTCATCACGTGTCGTCTTTTTCTCTTTCATGTGTCGTCGTTTTACGTATTGAATTTATCATCGTCCCTCTGAGCTCAGTAAGATGTTTAGGATTGCATTTCTGGTGGTAACAGTTAAAAATTTATTTCTTGTTATGGCAGTTCAAGATTACATTGCCTTAAATAGCGTTGTGGTTCGAATTCATTTAGTAGTCTCCATGTATAGCGTCCTTTTAGGCTGTATTTCGGATCGTTCAGTAACATTATGATATTTGCATGTCTACAGTCCGATTTGTGTTGCATTTATATTTATTGGTTTACATTGATTGTATATCTGTCGTTTTGGTACTAAGCTGTTATATGGAGTTGTTTCTGTGAGTATTAGTTTTATATTCCGTATCAGTTGTCTTTATTTGTTTGGTGCTAATTATTTTCATTTATGTTTCAGGCAACAGTTTTGAATATTCTCAATAAAACGAGTCTGGCAAACCGACACGCCCTCTTTTTAGAGTTTGTTAAGTCTTTTGCCCCACTTCAAAAACAACTAGCTAACAATAAGCTACAAATTACAGATAATGAGCCGAAAGTATGTTTTATTCAAAAACACGTTGAAAATGTGTGGATGAAACGTAAATATTCAAAATAAAGAAATGTAAATATCCAAAATAAGGCGGACAGGATCAAACCTTACAAATATTTATATTTTTATCAGCTTCAAGCCCACTAGAAAAATTGTCTACGCGCCCCAGCGTTTCAGAACCACTGATTTAGAGTAAGATGCTACTAAAAACTAAATAGGTTGAAAGGAAGCACTACTTTACTTGGCATCACAAAACGAGATGAATGTTAACCTACCAGATCATGGAAAACGGACTTAAGAAAACCTTTTGTTCAACATTTTA